CCGTATGCCATACGTCCTTGGCAGCGAAAGGGTTAATGCAGATATGCTTTAGCACAAGGGGGCCCCATAATCTTATATTGCCCGGGGGCCCCATGTGTTGTCAGTCCGCCCCTGGTCCCCAGCTGGCAATGTACATTATCTCTCTGGACAATTCTAATTTTATGTTTCCTGTTTGAACATGGTTCACCTAATTGTACAGATATTAACATTTCACCTAAAAATGAATAGTTGATGAAACAAATACAATGATTGCTTTCTATAGAATACGCTTAAACTCAATGGAGTGTTTGCTCTCCCACATTTTAATAGTTACTGCCAGGCTGCTGTTCTCACTAGAGTCCTAAGAGATTGGTAAACATAGAAATCCAGCTAAGCACTACTGATCCTGACACAATGCTCTGGGTTCTTTCTCCTCCTTTACCTTATACTTCCACATTAATGATTTTGTCTTTCACGTTTTATGTTCAAGCACAACATTGGCTGTGTAACTCACTATTATTCCTATTGCTCCCATTTATACTTTTTACATTGCCTCATGGTTCCCTACTTTCATTATTGCCCACCTGAGAAACCTCTTCTTCTACAGCATGTAGTATGAGGTTCCATCTTAAAACCTCTCTCAGCTATGAGAGACCCCAACAAATAACAGCTGCTGGACCAATGGAAACACACTCACTCTTCCATTTTATATAGCCCCTCCAAAGCTGCTGTGTTCCTTAGCTGCCTTTGCTGAATTTAACCCTCTTGAAATCCTGTTATTATCACCTGCACCTCCCACCAAATGTGTCTCGCAGCTATCTATTTTTCTTTTAAAAATGAACTCTTCTCCATATCCACAATTTATGTCAAAGTGGGAAGCAGATTGGTCGTCCGAGAAACATAAAAAAAATATTTCTCATCTCTGTCATGGAATTTCTATATTTTGTAACACTGAGAAAAGTGTCTGTCTGACTTGCACAAGACTTCTATGATATTACATTCAATATTTCCAGAGATGTCTCCCCAATGTTGGAGGACCTGTGTAAATGTAGGTGCTTACATTCATACACTATGGGGTCTATTCACAAAGCTGCCGAGGGCAGCCGAGTGAATGACCGATCAGAAGTGAAGTGAGCCGAACACTGTTCGGCTATTCACTTCAGGCTGGTACGGCTGATTTCAGCCGTACATCGGCTGAAATCAGCCGTACATCGGCTTGCTTCGTGTGGCTTCGGATCAGCAGAACATGCTCAGCATGTTCGGCTAACCCGAAGTGCAGAAGGAGTTCGACTCAGCCGATCCAACATCTGGATCGGCTGACCCGAACCTCCGGCAGGCTTCTCACTGCTGTTCGGGCTATTCTGAAAGATCCCGAACAGCAGTGAGAGAATAGCCGAATGCCGCCGAGCGGCATTTGGCTCGGCTGTTCTGCTCGGTTCCCCAGGAGGCACCGAGCAGAACAGAAAAAGAGTGAACAAAGTGTCGAAGGATCGGCCGAAGCTACGGCCAGATCCTTCGGCAGCTTTGTGAATAGACCCCTATATGGTGGTTTTACCCAGTGAATCGGAATCATTGGACCAATGTATTTCACTTCCCTGTGACTCTTGATCCATGAGTCATTTTGTATAATTGTTCAAGTAAACCAGCAGGGCGATGCTATTTACCCCACTGCACCAACCCCTTAAGGACCAAGGCCTTTTTTTTTACTTTTGTGCACACATGTTATAATCCACATTTTAGGCCTTAAGATGACTTAAAACCCCCAAACATTATATATTTCCTGAAAGCCAAGACCATATAGAATAAAATGTTTATGTTGCACGACACTAGCGCAACTTATTATCAAACCCAAAAATTTAGTAAAAAATGCACTTAAGATGAATTTAGTGCCCCAAGACACTATATAAAACATTTTTTAATATAAAATGTAAGGTTATAATGAGAAAATAGATACCCAACATGTCCAGTTTGAAAATTGTGTGCATCCATGAAACTGAGACAGAATTCAGTACCCCAAAAAGTTCATACACAATGCTTTAAAGCCCCTACAGGTCGTCAGTTTAGAGATAATCGTGTAAATAATGGTCCTAGAATTAATACTTTTACTATGGTATGTGTGGCAATACCCAACATGTTTAATGCAATTGTGGTTTTCATACATAGGCGCATCCCAACGCATGTTTACGTGGCTATGCATACTCGCAGGGGTCGGGGGCTTTAATTTTTTTTCTAACATTTTATTTATTTCATCTTATCTTTAAAACTTTTTTTAAAACTTTACTTCAATTGCTATCACATAGAGAGTGCTTATAAGTCCCCCTTTATGATGGCATATTGGCAGTGACAGGTACTCTTTAAGGTGATGCTGGGGGTCCAAAAGACCCCTGGTATCGTCTTTACCCTTGAAATAAGCTATTGAAGTGCAGATAGTTTCAGGAGCCCAGCACTTACAGTTATGGGACTGGAAGTGATGCAATACGCGTCACTCTTGGTCCCATAGTACGGGGAGGGGATCGGTGAACGGACCTTCCCCGCTCTCCTCCCCAGCTTCCTGACAACGACCAGCAAGCTGGTCCTAGGCCCGTAAGAAAGGCAGCGGAGCCCATGAAACATGGCGGGGGTTTTGGCCGGGGGTGCAGACCGGTTACCAGATCATATAAGCGACGGCTCTACAAAATAGCTCCACAAAACAGAACAGACTCCCAGCTAAAAGCCAATGGGAGTCAGTGTGTCTCCTTCAAACTTCATGACAGGATTATCCTGTCATGGGTCGTGAAGGGGTTAAATATTTTATTATTCTGGAAACAATTGAAAGTTCCTTCTAACAAATTATAGTCTTAGAAAATAGATCAGATCCATTTAATGAAATATTTGACTCATGACTCTAGAGATAAAAAAAACATGGGCCTGTTGGATTAGTTGTAAGACCTTAGCTTCATACTTGGATCTTATATTATCTGCATCTTGATTTGCACTATGGCAATAGGTTAGTTTCATTAATTGATATATAACTGTATTAGGATATTGTCTTATTTCTATCTCCTGTATCTCTTTCCTCCTACTTCTTATCCTTTTCTTACCTTAGTTTGTGCATTGTATACATCATAGTGTGACTGATAACATGCAGTGATTTTAACACCTGAAAATACTATGACCACTAATGTGTGTATCTGCACATGTTCTACCTATTTTGAAAACTGAATACAAAGTACATACATAACAAATAATTACGAGACCATAGGTGATAATAGAGTGTAATACTGGCCAGCAACAGAACATGTGTACTGAGAGAGAATTGGTCAAAATGTACTAGAGAAAAAGAGTACAAGGAGGAGTTTTACTACAAAGATGAAGAGACCACAGAAGACAGAGCAGTGTGAAATTAGCCAGCAGGCAATTGTAAATCATAAGACTAGGCCAAAATGCACTAGAGAAAAAAAATACAGGCAGTTGCTTCAGAATATAATTCAGAACATATAGTAGAGTTAAATTGGTCAACAGCAGGACAGTTTTAATCATGGATAATAGGCCTAACTGGTATACACTTAAAAAAATCTATTTTATCCATGGAGACAGTGGGTGTGGTGAATGTGTGTGATATGATGTTGGTTGGTTAAGGTGCACATTGTTCATGCACTTAAAGTGACATTAAACCCTCAGATTTTTAACATAAAACAATACTGTAATGTGCGCCTTACTGTAATCCATGGTTGTTTCCCTTCTCTTTGCTGCTCTTCCTTTTAAATCTGTATCTGTTCTCATGCTGGGCAGAACTTCTGTTTTGCAGCAGACTGCCTTGTCTCTGGAATGGCTAGGTTTGCAACCTGAGCCAGCACTACAGGAAGAGGCACTCAGCTGCAAAGGGAAGTTCTCCCCAAGCATGAGAAGACATGATGATTTAAAAGGAAGAGCAGCAAAGAGAAGGGAAACAACCATGGATTACAGTAAGGCGCACATTACAGTATTGTTTTATGTTAAAAAATCTGAGGGTTTAATCTCACTTTAAGTTTTTGTTCTTATACAAAAGGCAGATCCAAGTACAGATGGTCAGTAACAAGTAGGTGCTGTGCTTTGAGCACCCCAAGCAAAGCCCTATCAACATATAATAAAATTAGAAATGAAACCCCCCAAAATACCGCCTCTAAAATAAAGCCTATTTCTTAAAGGTAAACCTTGCTGTAAAAAAGTTGCATTTTATCCTAAAATACACCCCTTTCAACATACAAAAAAAACCCGCAAAATTAATGAAAACACCAAAATAATTCCCCTAAAGCAAAAGCACACTTTATTAAAAGAAAGCCTTTGATGCAAAATAAAAAGCAGCTCACCTAAAATAAACAGCCCTACCAGCATAAAATAATAAATCCCTAAAATAAATTAGAACACAATATACCACCACAGAAACCACCCCCCTCATTTTTAGGGAAGCTTTGCAGCAAAAAAAAATCTAAAGCTTTGCTTTTGATTGGACAGTAGCTACAAGTAACCACTGATCTAAAAATAACCACAAAATACAAAAAAATTGTATATTTGTAATAAAAATAAAGACAACAAACTCCCCTATAATGACAAAGACACCAAAGGGGTTGATTGCTCAAAGAGCTATCAGAATGAATGTACAGTTCACTAACTGACCCTAATCTCTCCCTTTGTAGGTTGTCAGCATCTCCTATCACTTCCCTACAATTGCATGCAATACAGTGGCTGTTCTCTAACCCCTATTTTATGTTCAAGGCGATGGCTTATTCTAACATTGAATCTTCATCACTGGAAGATGTGATTGAGATTGGATTTATGTACATTGGGGGTTCTATGTTCCCTTATTCCTTCATGTGCAGGTGAGGCAAACTGAGGCACCCCTTATTAACAGGGCAACGCAGCTCCTCCTTGGTAAAGCACTTTATCTTCATGTTAATGAGTAGAAGGGCCTAATCCTCACTTCCCTGGCTGGTGGAAAGTTATCATTTAGTGGCAATAGTGATTCCACTACTAAATACATTACTTCTGGCTGCATCAGCTGGAGAATGAGCCAAACCAACACTCATCTCTCACTTTATTATAGACGTCTGAACACAGGATCAAAGATCAATAGATAATAAAGAGCACACTATATTTGCTGCCAACATTTCACATGTGTGCTGTGAGGGCAA